CTAAATAGGAATTTTTTTTGTAATTTATGATAGACAGAGCAATATGTAGGCAAGAGTGTGAATACTTTTATCATTACTGTAATTATTATTTTCAAGGTCCTTAAAATCATTGGTTTATTTTGTTTCATCTTCTTTTTAATATTTAAAATTGCGCGCATATGTATATTTCGTTCACATCAGTAATAAATCAATAAATAAATGAAATTTTAACGCTACAATAAATATCAGACAATCGCTTTCCTTTTTGAATCACATTTGAAGTACATTACAATAATACTCATTCATTTATTATAAAACATGAAAAATAATGATAATGTACACTTAATAACTTTAATTTTTTGGAGTATTTTTTACCAATCCGTCCATATGAATAAAAAATGACGCAATGTTTCAGCTATCGTAGTTGGTTCACAATGAGATTCTCAATAGCAGTATATATCTTGAAGTTTCAGACAAAGTTAGTCATATATATCATGATATGTGAATGTCACATTTTCGGAAGTACAAAAAAAAAAAAAAAAAAAAAGTGTTCAATTAACACAATAAAAAGCAGTACCAAAGGGATCAATGTACGTCACGTTTGGCAATAAAAAATAAAGTATTTTTTAACCGCTTAACCATGTTTTTTCAACAAAATCCACAAACCATACGCCACAAATAGCACAAAAGAAAGAAAGAAAAGTCCTCACGTCCGTGTATTGTAGAAGAACAACAACGGCAACAACAATAACAACAAGAACAACACACTATATACTACCCTAACCGAACCCTGTCCAATCACCGTCACTCACGAATCTACACAGCGACTCTTCGTGACAATACCGTGGACCCTCACACGTGGTACAATGATATTCACAAAGGCGCGCGGGCGGCACAGAGGACAGACGCGCCGGGCAACATCTTACCGACGGACGTGGCCAGCTACGGGACAAAGAAGGGCATCATCGTCGTTGTCGTCGTCCTCCCGACTTTCAGTCGAGCGACTTGGACCTGTCCAATTTTTTGCGTTTACTTTCAACGTTAGAATTTGTACTGCTGCCGGGGCGCTCGTCGGTATCGCGCGGTTGCCGCTGCTGCCGGTTCATCCCGCTGTCGTCCCGGTGGTGGTGGTTGCTCGTCGAGGCGGAAGCCGCAGCGAGCTGGGGTGTCGGGGCCGGTATCACATTGCTGCTGGATGGAATCGGTTGGGGACCGGTGGCCACGGGGCCGACCTGGTGGTACGGGTGGTCGCTGGCCGAGCTCAGTCGGCGGCTGGCCCGAGCTGCGGCGTGCACCTCCTGGTGTCGGAGCTCGCGTCGGCGGGGTATTTTGAGGGAGCCGCCCTGGACTCGGCGGAGATCCGAGCTCGGTTGGGAGGAGGACGTCGAGGGCTCCGTGGGCAGGTCGGGCTGGGGGGACGAGCTCGCTGGGTCGAATTTCGCGCGACTGCCCAGCTCGTGCACGCTGGAAAGGGATATTTCGTTTTGCGTGAGAAACTATTAGTGATTTTTTTTTTTACTTTCACGCGGGAGTCTCTGGATTTCGTGGTGGAAAGATGTATCTGCGAATACAGTACTAGTTAAAATTTAATCGAATTTCACCTAAAATCTCACGAAATCTAAGATCACAATACCAATCTGCAATAAAAGCTCAAACGTACTGTGCGTAATTAAAGATTTTCAATTTTATTTCTTAAGAAAGAACGGTAAATTTTTTAATGCATATACCTGTCATTGTGGCAATTGTACTCATTTGTGTAGAAAACAATTAAGGATTCATTTTGAAGGGCTTACTGAAATATTTCTTTTCCGATTAAAAATATCATAAAAAATAATACATGCATCTAAATACGTACGTTTTTGTAAAATGGCTTGTAAGACGACTCGAATATTTTGTATGATTTTTTGTTTCAAATTATTTCAAAATGGAAATCGTATTGAATAAACTGAAATAACTATAAAGAGAAAATACTTTGACGTCATACCCTCTAAAGTTGGCATTGAATCGAATTAGCTCAATTTTTATTTTGTTTTTACAGTGCAATACGCAGATGAATCTAAGATACATTTTTTATATCACAAACTTAAAATTTTTTCGTCACCTAACAATTAAAAAAATATTTCCTATGGAATCTTGTATAGAAAAATATAGGAACGATGCATGANAAATATTTTTAAGATAGATAATACTTCCGAATAATATTGAGAAAGCAAAAAACTTTTCAAGTGAGATTATAACATCCCCTGTTTCCCCAAAGGCATTGAAATCCACCCTCACCCACATTCTCCACCGACTAGCCGATCGAACTGTACCGATTTGTCTCTCATCCCGTAAATGACGATGAAAGCAAAAATCTCACCCATTGAGTACCAAATAATATAAAAATAAAAAAACCAACTCACGCGACTCTGTAAGTGGGCTTGCCAACGTAGCAGGGTTGCATCCGACCTCCCACAGAAGGACACACGGGCCCCAGGCAGTCTATCCTCCAGCCCTCGGGGCTCTCAGCCTGACTGCAGTTGGTTACCGTCTCGGCGTCCGAAGAATGGTTCCCGTTGCCACTGGCGGGCATTCCCGAAACAGGAGCCCTGAGCTCCGCGTACGCCAACTGATGCCTCGGGGAAGCCATGACCGTTGGTCCGGCGACGACACCGGGGCACTGGTACTGCTGTATGAGCCGAACGTACTCGGCAGTATCGAAGCCCTCGACGAGTGCCGGGGGTGGTGGCGGTGGTGGCGGCGGGGCACAGCTGGCACTCGGTGGTTGGTACTGGGGTGCCTCGAGGCTCGGCAGTGGGCGCACGCTGTAGAAGCAGGGCCCAACAAAGCCCGTGGGTGCTGCTGCGGGTACAGTTACCGTGGCGCTCGACTGGCCCGGCCGCAACAGCTCCGGGGACGAGGGTGTGGAGAGCTTGCCCCGCGACTGGGCTATCACCGTCTCGTAGCTCGGCGGCGGGCCGTATAATTGATAGTACGGGCAGTTGACGTCGTTCAGTACGACGCTCGTGTTCTGGTAGTGGGTGTTTGAACTCGCCGGCCCGGCTGCGGTGTAGGCTGGCGAGGTCACGCCTCGGTGGGCTGAGGTTTATTTTTTTTTTTTTAATAACTTTATTCGTCAAATTTTTTTTTCTTATTTATTGTAAGTAATTTATTTGTGTTTCTATTGGAACAGGCAAAAGGTGGTTAACTATGTTTCATAAAACTGTATTTTTACTTTTTTTTTTCTTTGCAAAAGTTCAAAATTGAAAAAAAATTTTTAAAAAACGTTTAAATAATTTTTCGAGTAATTTTTACACAACATCGTATTTTGATTGATTTTTGTTAATTTTTCAAAATCAAACCACATTTTACCATCATACAGAATTAGGCTTACTAAATGTCTAATTAACTTCAATTTATACGTGTGTCTGTTTGTATTACTTATAAATATCCAATTTTTCGGAATTGATTTTAAAAATTAAAAATTGTTTTACCCTTGGATATAAAAATATGTACAATAAATTCTACTCAACTCTCAACGCAATAATTTAAAAAAATTTTTTATTCTATTTTTAGAACCAAGAACACTCGAACAATATTTATTCCAAGGGAAACGAAAATACCACCCTTCTCAATCAAATTCATTTCATTAAATAAATCTCGTAATTTATTTTTGTAAATTAAATATCATTCAATTTTTAAAAACTCAAGACATATCTCCAAACAATAAACAAATGATGGTGTGCAACTTCTAATAGTACGTTTAATAATTTTTTTAAATATTTTAACTCTGTACTCCTTACAACGAACGGATCAATGATACCGTAACAAATTTTTTACATTACATAAAATTATATTTTTTCACTAATTATTCTTAGAAGCAATAGCAATGGTGTAAATAGAAGTGTTGTTCAAAATAAATCAGTGTAACTAAATCATATGTTTCAACCCTTCACCGCGAATTAAGTTATTGGATGTTGTATTTCAACTCCCAAAGTGTAGAAAATAGCCCAAACTACGTCAAGAAAGCTTAGAAATGCAGCAAATAAAAAAAAAAAAATGAAAATCTCTTCAAGAATTATGTAAAACCCGAATACTCTAATGAATACAAAAAAGAGAGAGAAAAAAATATGTAGTAGCACTTGGAAGTCCCACCTTTCCACATGCGGTGTAAAAGGACGGTATTCCTGGCTGTATTGTACGATATCCTGGCTTGTTGCGCCCGACACGTTGGATCGCGCATGGCACCCTGTGCTCTCGTGCTCGACGATCTGTTGGGGATCGCAGACGCTGTCGTCCTGAACCTCCCGTGCAGCCAGTAACGATACCACCACCCACCCCCAGAGCAGACCAGAAACATTATTATCACTAGTAACCTAAGATTCGAATGATGATTGAAATATTAGTTGGGGAAATTAAGAAATCTCATTTTTTTTTTTTTTTTTTTTTATAATATAATATAAAAAATTTTTCTCACCAATAATACCACAGGTGATACATTTGAAACCCTGGTGACACGCAGCAACCGAAGTTGCAGCAGTATTCGGTTTTTGGACACCTATATGTAATAAATATTTAAATAACTGAAATACGCTACAGTCGTAATGAGAAGATTATTTTAGACGGTAAAAAAATCATCAGTTGTGATAAAAAGTATCAAATAAAGGTTGTCGTATGCCCACGGAACAAAGAATTCGTTTTGTTCGTAAAATTGTGGTACTTATTTGATTTCATGCCTCTGTATTATTTTTTTGCATCAAGAACTGATCGTCATTTGAAAGTACAAATAAATCCAATTTTTCTTGAAACNTTTGTACATAATGAGAGTTTTCTCTGTTGGTGAAAATTCCAAACAATAAGTAATTAAATGTAAGTATACAAATGATAAAAATTTGTAAGGTGTTTTCCGCAATAGTTACCAGCATGAAGATATATTAGACTAGAGTGCGAGAGAGTGAGAAAGAGTCAGTAACACAGGTTCCGTGTACCGACGGTCGTCGATACGACAGAACCTGTATTACCGGTATTGTACAATAGGTAAATACGATACCTACTAGTAATAAGCCATGTAAGATAAGCAGAATGTTTATGTTTTTGGAGATCAATTTTTGGGTTAAAAATAAATTATAAACTTGCCGCAAACAAAACAAAGTACGTCAACTTTTTATTTTATATAAATGAGATTAGTTGCGGCTGGTTTATAATCAACAAAATGGCTCCACTGTAAATAGTATTAATTATTTTGATCAGCGCCATCTAGCGGTCTTGATTTTTTGGCCAAAAGTGGCCTCTAAAATTCTCAATCAGAGCAATTAGGATTAGAGCCATTTAGTCAGTTATAAACCAGCCGCAACTTATGACAAAGCTATAAATTAAAAAAATAACAATACGTATGTTTTTGGCGGCAAGTTCACATTCTATTTTTTATAAAAAAATCGACCTCCTATGTATTTATACTTTTAAAGATTAAATCTCGGCAAAAAATAGATTGTTAACTTGCCGCCAAAAACACACGTATCAATATTTTTTAATTTTATAGCTACGAAATGAGTTGCGGCTGGTTTATAATTGACTAAATGGCTCTGATCCTGATTGCTCTGATTGAGAATTTTAGGAGCCACTTTTGGCCAAAAAATAAAGACCGCTAGATGGCGCTGATCCAAATAAATAATACTATTTACAGTAGAGCCATTTTATTAATTACAAACCAGCCGCAACTGATAGTATTTAAATAAAATAAAAATTTAACGTGTTTTGTGCTATTTGCGGCAAGTTTACAATTTATCCTTTACCCAAAAATTCACCTCTTAAAGTGTAAATATTTATCTTATATTTTTTTTTTTTTTTGATTTAATAAACTCAAACATGTGGCACTACTTAGTAGTGTTTGGTGATTACTATGATTACTACACATAACATTACGTTTATCTTACATTCTTACACCGTGTGTTCTCTTTACTAGAATGATAAAATCGTGGCTGTATTCCGCAAATGCTGCCATATATAGTGCATCAGCGACTTATTTACGACTTTTTGAAAAAAGTTGAGAAGAAAAATATCACTAGATGGTGCTGATCTACATTTTTTTTTTTCGTTAGTGGTTATTGCGTCTTTACATACCGTGCTCACGGCGTGATAGCAGATTGTGCGGAATAAGCTTATAACATATTATATCCCACAATCGCAAGACGCAAGTACACTTGCGCAATTAATTTGTACGCTCGCGTGTGTTGATGGTGCTTTTTTCTTAAAAACATTATAAAAATTGCAGCCTAAAAGTTGAACAACAAAATGGCCCTCACCCTTACTCCGCGGACGAAGCAGAAAATAGCTGTCGTGATGAGCATTTCGAAAACGGTGTTTCATTGGGGCTTCATTCCTGCGGTGTTGTATTTAGGTTAGCTTTGCCAAAATATCTCTAAAATCTCTACGAAAAGTATTGTAATTTATATTCATGAAATAACGTGTAATCATTGCCTTTCAGGTTTTCGTAAAGGTGCAGATCCCGGTATGCCTGAACTGTCATTTATGAAGTGAGTAAATTTTTATAAAATTACTTGAATATTTTTACTCAATGAATTTTGATTTTATGCTTGCCATTACATTTTATTTTAAGCAAAACTGTATCACGGAAGAAACTAACCAATTGCATTTGAGATATCCAATACAGGATAACGTAAATAATCTTTTTCGTTAAATCAGCCATTGTTTTCAAACTAGTCTCTAGTATAATCAGAAGTTTCATCATTTCCAACAAAATGAGATCAGATCCCAAGGCACCCAAGACCTTCATTTCAATTTATTTCAGAGCTCCACACAACCGATGATTTTTCACGAAATCGCTCAAGCGCGCTTCGACGCAAATGAAACTTACACATAGTACTTTGGCTCTCCATGTATTTCAAAGGCACAATATTTTGCTTCTGCCTGAAATGCAATTACGGTAATGAAATTTTAAACTATATCTATATTATTAAGTAGAGTAGAGCGCGATGAGTTGTGGGTGGAAAATTACGAATCGAAATTTAATTTATAAATGTCATCACTTTGGTAATGGGATGATTATTTCGTCACCTCTCATAATATACGTTGCGCGAAATCATTGCGACCCGATTTATATACGCTTAAAAAGTCAGAGGAATGACGATCACAATCGAGGAGCAAAATAAGGTGAATGAAATAAAAAATAAACAATTAATTTATGAAATTGTGTAAACGAAATTTATCCATCATCAACGGACTTGGGCATGAATACTTTTTTAATTTTTTAATATATAGGTTTGTAATGATGCATTATTTGTTTTGAATAAACTTTTTTTCAAGTACTACTCTAACATAGCGCTTAAAGAAATTTTTTCCTGCAAAAACAATGCATGACAATTCGAGGGGTAAAAAAAAGAGTCAAAGTATTTTAAAAAGTGCTTAAATATTTGATTCCAAATATTTACAATAAAACGTAACGTATGAAAAGTATTACACTTTTTCCAACACAAAGAAAATTTGTTTTTCCTCAATAGTGTATTGTAAACAGTAACGAACAAAAGAAACTTTTAGCAAAAAGACTGCTGCACTGTATTCAGAAAAAAAAATTTTCTTTTAAGGTGATTGAAAATCCATAAAATAATCGGGCACAAGTCATACCATCAATTATTTCATCAGCACTGCTAAACTAAGCCATTTTTATCCAAAACGATGGGCACAAAGGAAGATACAAAGTTCAAAAAGACTCTGTAAATGATATAACGCACTTGGATGGCCAAGTTTTCGTGAATAAATTTTTTCTCTTCGAAATCGCACAACTCGACAAAGTTGGTGAAATAATTGACGATGGATCGATTTTGTCTTTTCTCAAAAGCTCATAAATATTGCTGTGATGCACGTAATAATTGCAAAAACACCTTCGACATGACGCCCGAGACATGTATTTCAACTAGTTTCCTGAAAACTCTAAGCGTATTTTTATAATTCTATTCAAAAACCCCACGAGTTCCACGACTATACAAAGAGGACAGCGGTACTTAACATTATTTACGATTAAATAAATAAATAAATTAGAAAAAATCGTATCACAAAACCAATCACGAATCCAAATAATTGACAAAACTCCCAGGTGTGCACGGAACAAGGGGTGGAAAGGAGAGAGCGCGAGTCACCCCGTGAGGGACGGATGGGCGGGGAAGAATGTACCAACAACGAAAAAAAAAAAAAAAAAAAGGGGGGCGAGTCCGATGTAAATTTACGTACGTAAACCAAGCACTCGGACATCCCAGCGGCGATGGCTAGTCTCCACCACCTGGTAATGGCCATTTTCACTGGTGACGACGTCCTCGCGCGAGCGACTTCGGGATGGACGAGCAAAAACAACGAAGTATGGCACACCGAGAGTTACGAGCCGCAGACGCATGCACCCGATCGGATTATTTTTGTCATCCTCCTTTTCAGTGTAGCCAGCAGGACGTCAGCTGAACAACAGGACACCCCGAGCATCTCGGCCGGGCACCCCCAAAGGGTAGTTTTACCTTTGCACATGCGAGCGACTTTTGGTACACTTGATACTTTTGCCTGAGCAAGGGTTGGGGCTTGGGGACAAGAGACCACGAAAGCTGCTCGCGTCCCAGCCAGCCAGCCAGCAGCCAGCCAGCCAGCTTGAGAGACACTAACGTGCAATTATTGATTTTCAAATTTTCGGAGCGTTCGCTGCTCGTGACGTCACCGGGGGAGAAATAAGAGAGACAGGCTATAGCCAATCTCTCTCTCTCTCTCTCGCTCTCTTTTTATATATATCTTGTGCACCACGTGGGTACTGTGCTGTTGCTTTATTTCTTTTTACCGAGAGGGGAGCTACATGTTGATTGGTTCAAATGATATATTTAGGATTTCGAAAATTTTTTCATACTATTTCAACACGACTTTTATTTATAAGGATTTCATGGGTGCTATCTCGAGCGAAAAACCGTCAACTTGTATCAAGTGTTTTATTTTTATTTTTTAATAATTGTTCGAGCTCGTACGATATGATTTAAGTATATGTTTTTAAATTGTACAAACTTGAAATATATTTAAGTTGTTTGAAATAGTTTTTATGAAATTTACGTGCGCGCGTGGAAACCGTTTTTCCAAACGTTCGTATTTTTTGTCATCATAATTGTTATTGACAAGAAAAAATCCATAGTAAATTCTTTAAAATAAATGCAAGATTTTTTTTCCACATAGTTCAGTATACCCTACATTATATTATTGTAGTCGATACATATTTTTTTGGCATTTATTGATAAATTTTTTCTCTCCCATTATAAGTGAAGTTCAAAAACTTTATTTGTTTGCGATTAACTTAGATATTAGTTCCAAAGTAACTGGCTAAATTGATTGATGTCATTAAATTTCTTATAAGGTACATGAGATATCAATTTATGTAAATTTATGAAAAATTCCGGTTGATTTCAGAT